TAGTTTCCTACTAATGGAATTATGTTGTGCTTTCCCAGGTCATCACGAGGTGGGCAGAATTTGGTAAACAAACAAGCAGGTGTGTCATGTGTACTACAGTGCCGCGCTGCAGCGTTGCAGCCAAGACTGAGATCGCAGCGAGCGGGTAACTGCTCGTATTTTAATAATACATGCAGGTGCTGTGCAAGCATAGAGCGGCCAGAAGCAAATGTTCACAAATGTTTTTATTTCCGTCACAAGTTCAAGTCTAAAATTATCTCAGTTGGCAAGCACACTGGCAGGGAATCTTAAGACTCAGTCATGGGGGCTGAGCGCTGCTTCAACATTATCCCTTTTCCCGTCTCTAGACCGAGGGACCCACGAGCAGCAGGTCCTGCTTCATGCACTGAACGCGCATTTGGCATGTCATCAACAAAACGTCGGATAAACAAAATTGGATCAAATCAAACAGTGTGTTTGGCGATGAAGTCAACAAAACGCTCTGCAGCATACAACACAAGACCAGCAGCAAATCCACCCTATAAAGATGCTAGTTGTCATATTGCACTGTTAGGGTTTAGGGTTTAGGGTCTATCAACTAGGGTCACCCGAGCGACGCGTGCAACGAGAGCTTACGGGCGTAAAGGGAAGGGTTGACACAGGAAGCTCCTGCAGTGCTTCCCGTCCTGCACCGCACAGCATTCCAGACGGACAAGCTCGAAATGCAATTCTGCTTTCTGGGTATACACTATGAACAAGATAACGTATCATGAGATTCACTACCACGAAGACGAAAAGCATTGGATGGCGGGGACAGAAAGGACGCACTGCAGAACACGAGCAACATGCTCAATCTTCTTCTTGGCCGTCCAGTGGGTTAAAATGTCGATAATTCCAACGTAATACAACTTGGTGCGGTCAGTGCTCTGCATGCCACCGAGGTCTCTGCTCCAGAAAGGGCGTTCAATGTCTGTACGCGAAGGGCAAAGGCGAGGAAAAGCGGAAACCACAAATGGTCATGGCAGCCGTCGCATGCAGCCCCATTATTCTCACTTTCTCAAACTAGCCCTGACGAACAAGTGCAACAACTGGGAGTGCACTTACCACAGTCTCCAAGTCCTATCATTGACGAAACAGAGCTCGGTGCCCTAAAAAGCAACAACAGGGATACGACAATGACCTTAATTGATGATAGGACGAAAAGCATTCACCACAAGTCCAAAGAACTGCCATACAGTGAAAACATATAATACTGAGTCAACAGAGTCGTTACACAAAAGCTTAACCAAGTGACCCTCTATGTCTCTTCTGGTGTCTGCTCCTTCAATCAAGTGCCTGTCTCTCTAGATGCTCGCGAGCACCCGCGCTGCAGTGAAAGTGAGAGACGGCAAACATAGCATATAACGGTGAACACGACGGAGAGAGACCCAGAGAGATACCCCTGCGGCGGTGTATAGTGTTAGTCCTACACCTTCATGGGCCATGAGAGTGACAACTCACATCGAGTGTGACGCGCGAACCTCATCGTCGATCTGCAGTATACCGTCCTGACAGATGTTGGTGTCTGAGCAAGACAAGAACACACACCCTACACCCATCGGCTAGTGACAAAACCTTACACCTATGCATGCACACAATCCTATCAAACATTTCTTCTCGTCAGGGTATGTCTGGATGAAGTGTATTCCTACGAAAAGCTTGAGTGAAAGGCGAAAACAAAAACAAAATATTATAGCTCCCCCACACCACACCAACCAGCTACCTGCGCACCTTGTGAACAACTGGCATACGATATTCCCAGCAGCAACGAGTAGTCCATGATCCCATGGTCCCTAAGGAATGCCGCGTCAACAGATAGTTGTTCAACGAACATCTGCTTCCGCTCTTCTCCGATTTCTATCTGAACGCAGAGACGCAAACAAACGACAAACGCTTTAAAAAGCAAGTGCAAATGCAGCCCATCTGGGAATGCATGCAGCGAGGGGTCGAAGCTACAGTGTGTCAAGTTTCGCTCCTAAGAATCCAACACAACGGCCGCTTGCCATTTCTCCCTCGCGTGTCATATCATTGTCTTTCCTCGCCACTGTGGGATCGCTGAAACCGCAACACAGCACAGCAGAACGAGAGAGCCACGCCTGTCTCTGTGTTCTGTGAGTTAACAGTTGTGGATACAGCTGCCACTTTTGGCTCTACAGAGAACAGTGAAGCCCACCTAAGGAGTTCAGGCGGCAGCGAGCGGCCTTGGGTGGATCCCTTAAGATCATAGCGACGATGAATTTCCACTGGCGTGTGAAAGAAGTTCTCCATGACCATGAAGTACGTTTTACGTCTCCATGTCTCTGCGTGCATAAATCATCAACCAGAGAAAAGATTCTGTTGTTTTGTAAAATAACGTACAGTCACACTGCACCTTAAGCATACGCTTTACACTTTCCCAAAGGCGCTCACGGTTGCGGCCCAGAATCTTTCCGGATTTGTCCTTGAGACGAAGCGCGTGAAGTCCGCAAAGCCGTGTGAGCAACGTGTTGGTGCATGTCGACACATGCTTGTAGTAGTCGAACAAAATGGATCGCATAAAGAAAGCTGTCTCCTTTGACACCTAAAGCACCAACGGAGAATCGCATTTTCTACTCTCAGAACGTACTGCCATGTCGCTGGTGACGATGCGATTGCTCTTGCACGTTTCATTGGGGTGAAGAACACAATCAGGTGCGCGGAGCTTCACAATACACAGTTCTTACCGTCTTGATCATAAACCTCCCGTCGGTTGTGTAGTAAAAGAGAGAGCCACTTTTGCCTTCCGAAACCAGTTCAGAAAGAGAGGACAAATTCCCTGAAAACGACAAAAGAGAACATCAACAGTGGCTTCGTCAGCATTTCCATTCAGTTCAACTTGTTCATACGTTAGTGTTTCTCCTTGCAGTGAACAGCTGCAGATAATACACCAACCTAAAATTAAATTGCCAAGCAGCTGATCCGGGCCGACAGATCGAATGTAGCCGAGCGAGTCGATTCCAAAAATAGCGCGGAGCCGGCGAAACACCATCGGAGCGTAGTCAATGAAGCGGACTGCGCACTGCAGCAAACATAAACAAAGTCAAACACCATCATTTATACCGATTCCTGCGGGTGGAATTAGTAACTGGGGTTCAGTTTCTTTGCTTCGCTTACCAAGGAGGGCTTTCGCCGTTTCTGGTCTAGCATGCCGGTCTTCGGCAACACCGAGAACTTTTCCTTCATCAGGAAATCGTACGGCTCAACAGCTCTGTGTGGTTCGCTCATAGCTCGGGCCCCAGCCAATCGGATGCCAACCATGATGTTAATCACCATATTCCATGACTCGTGACCGAAGTGAACCACAAACCCCTTTGTGTCTTTTCCGCCAGATCTGCACGCAGAATCAAGCGACGGCAAAGTGCACGCATGCAGTTTGCGACACTTGTCACAAATAAAGAACCACAAATGCACTACAATCTCAAAACAGCTCACTTCGCGGGTCCCGCGGCGTTGGCCTGTTGTCGATGTGCATGCTCTACTGACGTGCGTCGCCATTGGGTAGCTGCAAGTCGGCACATGCAAGCAGCCACCCAACATGAAAGGACTTCCGAAAGAAACCCGCCCCATGATTCAACAAAAGTTAATGGGATACAGGAAGGTCTAATATATTTCTTTTAACCCCTCAGTCTACGGATAATCTGTGAACAGAGGCAGGATTAGCGCAACATGTGCCGCCTGCACTACAGGCTCGAGAACGTGTAAGACCGGCATGCGCGAGTTCAGTGCTGCATACTTCGGCGTTGATAGACTTTCGCGCGATTCATATACATTCGCCGGCAACCAGGAGCTATACGACGGCGGCTGCAAGCATCAAACACACAAAGCACATTTCAGCTGTAAGAACTTCCTCTTAGGGATTTTCCTTTACACTAAGGTCGAGACTACACTCAAGGTACGCCGAAGTGCGGTGAATGCTATACCTTTCGCTGCCGCCAACTGCCGCTTCACTCGGAGTCGTGACCTTCTGCAAATTCACCAATCGCAACGCATGCATGAAGCGCGCGGAGTGAAACCCAGGCGTGCAGACAGATAACACTCGTCAGCACATAAACCAACCCAGCGTGCAGCGTCTTAGCTAATGCCTCCAAAGTGGAACGCACGTGTTCGTCGATGTCTTCCAGCACCGAGTCCTTCAAAGGAAAAATAGTGGTGTTTGAAGGCCTCACGTGTTGCACAGTGGCATTTTCTTGGGCGCAGCTTGCTGAATCGAATACACCCACAAGCAAAGCGGCCAACAAGCCCCTTAGGCAAGGAGGAGGAGGCCCCACGCCAGCAGCAGCCACAGGGAGTCCTGGTCACCTAGCCGCAAACCGTCTGCCGCCGATGAATAAACAAGAAGTAGCAACAACGACCTAGCCTGGGCAAGTGCCCAGCAGGTGATTAACGTGGCTCACCTATGTCCGGGACAGGAGAGCTGTCGTGTTCACAAACCATGAAGGAGACCTTATGTCGCCTCGGCCCGTCATGCAGCTGAGATGAGGCCCAGTTTGAGGTCGAGTCGCTTGTCCCTTCTGAACTTGGTTTCCGTCCGGACTCCCCTGTCAGTTTCGGGAGAAGTACAGACTTCCGCATGCGACTTGGCATCTCCCGTTGAATACCAGAGGCCCCGCCTCGAGTGAAATCGTGCTGAAGGACATCGAAGTTGTCTTTGCTGCTCATCTCAACCATCAATTGATCCGCTATGTGCATCGGTAGAAACGTCGCCATGCTGCTCTCCTCTAAGATGCGGTTCAGCTGTTGCTCCGCTTGTTGCAGTGCAGCAAACGCCGCAGCAGCAGCAGCCGTTGCTGCTGTTGCTGCCTGCTCTGTCCCTTCTACAGTTTCCGCAACAGGCTGCAGCCCTTCTACACCCGGCTCTCCACCTGCACACAGCACAAGCCAACCCCTCAGCATCATCGAAACCCAAGCAATTCTCCTGTAAGTCACAAGTCAACGGAGCTGCAAAACCAACTGTCTCGCCTAAGCTGACAATAGCACGGCTCAGATATTCTGACCTTCTGGCTGCGATCTTCGAGGCGATTCATTTGTTGTGGATTCTCCCGTGTCTCCACACCCGCCAAAAGACTGCGCGACAGAAGCAGGCAACGAACACTGAGACAACTGAAGAAACCATCCATGAATCCAACAAATTCACGTGCGACAAAGGAATCGAACGAGTTCAATGCACAACGCATCAAAGGTTTACGCAGCCGACCGAAAATGAGATGGTTTGGATCGGTAACACTTCTCAGATCACCTCCACAGGAAGCAGCAAAACGAAAGGTCAGCCTGGGTGGGCCACTCACTTCACGCTTGACGGGGTCACCGCGTACAGGACTGCTGCACAGCCGGCCGTATGGTCCCTCAGAGTGCTGCGGTGCTGACGACTCGTCTTCACAGGGGTTTACCCCCAAGGGCTTCGGCGAGGCGTCGGTGGCCTTTGCTGCAAGGGCTATTTTGACTGCCTCTACGTCGCGCTCCACAGCTCGGAGACTCTCCGCCAGCTGCTTCAGCTGATCGCGTTGCTGCTGCTGCAGCTTCCGCTGCTGCATTTCTGCCTGAGCCTCCGCCTGTCGCACTCGACGCAGAAGCTCCGCTCGCACAGCAGCGCCGGCCTCTGGGGACCCTAAGGGGCCCCCCAATGCGCACGAAACAGTCGTGCAATCCACAGAGAAGAGGCTATTCTTCTTCTCCGATTTCGTCGTGACAGAAGCCTCTGCACAGCGGTCGAGACGTCACACATCGGCAACAAGAAAATGGGTCTTCCCCTCTACCGCAGCTCAACCTCCTTTACAGGCTAGAAATATGCTAACAGAGCCACCAACGTTGCGTCAAGAGAAAAGCGGTGTATAGCGTGCACAATGCCACTTTTGAGCATGAACGCTAAGCCCGTGAGTACACGTACCGGACTGGGAAGAAGAGGCAGGCGCGTTGTTGTTTGCGACCCCCAGAAGACATAAGAAGCGGGGACTCGTGTTCACCGCCCTTTTGAAGTCTTTCAACATCATCCGCCTCGACCCGTCTGGCATTTCGGATGCAAGGGGCAGAAACGTCATTGCGATCTCCTCGTCAGAGGCCATATTGCTGTCCCCCCCAAGCAGAGCCCGGCGGGAAGCTTGGAGGCACTTAACCAAATCAAGGAACTCGTCCAGCCCCAAACTGTCTGCGTAGATGACGCTGCGGAACTGTTCAAACCAATGCGTGCTCCGAGGCACGCGTAGAGTCTGTTTCGATGCCAGTCCCTGCTCCAAGCCACAGGATTTGCCGCTCGTGTTGCTGGAGGGATCCTTCACCTTTGAAGAGTTCGTCTGACACTCCGGTTCAGCAGCACCATCTTCTGCTGCAGCCGTACCCGAAGCGCCACAGCACTCCTCCTCATCTCCGTCTTGAACAGCTGAAAGGACCGAGGCGGGAGGACTGCCGCAAGCCAGACGACACTGTCCACTGGAGGCGGCAAGAGAGGTCTGGCGATGCGGGGAAGCTGCAATCGTTTCGTCTGAACCTGAAGTGCTCACCGACTGCAAACGGTAATCTTCCAAGCATTTACCCGTACCCGTATACCTGCGCACAGCCGACACAAACACTAAAATATTATCACTATGAGCTCTGCAAGCTGTGGCATCACTGCAACACAGGTCAAACGGCGAAAAGGAGGGAGCCGTTGGGCTCAGCTAACAGAAAAACTCCAACATATACAAAGGCGCGCAAAAGCATTCGAGGGGAGAGGAGGATCGAGTGAGACGGACGTGGGATTGAGGATTCGGAATGAGAGATCAAGCTTCTGGTCGTCTGTTCCACGCATCATGATGCCCAGTGCGGTGGCGAACTCTGTAAAGCTCAGCTGATGCAGAACCACACAAAGAGTATCGACAGAAGCATTCACACTAGACAGGAGAGCAAAGCAAAAGACAGTTGCAGCGCGTGCTCTGTTGGTGCTAACCCAACGAATAATTCCCCAGCACATATTGGCGTATGACGCATCACTGGCACATGAATTTTCTTAGCTCGTCGTTTGATAGCAACGTTCGCTTATAGAAGCTAGTTGAGAGTATATGGAGGCGATGACATGCGTGCAGTGTGGGTGGCGGGGTGTTGTGTTGTCGACTGACCTCTCTATCTTTGTTCTGATCAAAAGCTCTAAACATCCGCTCAGCTATCATCGTGTCATCAAGCATCCCCAACACTCCCAAGGTGTCGCAAAACCGTGAAAATAGCAGACGGCCATTGGGCGCGTATTTGCGAAACCTGCAGCGCCACAGGCAGTGGATATCAGACGAGCACAGCGAGACGGAATACAATGGGCGTCACCCCCCACGTAAAGCTTCTGGAGAGGGTCTTTACATTGTAGGCACAAAATACAAGGACAGTGAACTCGTCTGAAACCAAGCAAGGAAACGAAAAACGCCAGCGGCAGTGTGCCGCCAGGCAGAAGACAGCAACTGCGGTGGCAAAGTACAGATAAAGTGACAAGAATAAGCATAGGGAGGTTGTGATGATTGAGACACACGACCCAGCCATTTTAAGCCTATCTTCGTCTAGACGTAACGAGGAGTGTACTGGCTTAGCAAACGTTGCATAGATCTAAAGTGTAATCCTCCGATACATGCAAAATCAGCATATACGTGGGCAGCAGGTGCTCCTCTGCACGTACCTGTCATACAGTCCCTGTATCTCCTTGAGTGTAAGCAACGTGTTCCGCTGGATTTCATCAGCCATGTCGGCTGGAACCCGGGATGGGAGCCTCCCATCCTCCACGACGTTCCCTCCACAGCACTTGCCAAGCAGCGACATTGGGGGGGCCTCTCGTGAGTCACGAGAGGATAGGGAGAAAAACCCAGGAAAAGGAGGAACCCCCAGGAGACACAGAGCTATTGGGCCTCAAGTAATGAAGCGAACGGGATGAACTACGGACACTGCAGTGCCGAAGCCCGTCGCACAGCCGCAGTCCGTTTACTGCCTTGGGCAGGCGCATCCTCAGGGGAGAAACTCATGCAAAATGCGAGAGCAAAAAAGGAGGAATGGAACGCGCGAAGGTGTAGGCAAGATAACAGCGAGAGTTGCAAACAAGAAAACTGCCTCCGGGGATGGAGGAGTAGCGACCAGGTCGGTTGCTTCCCCCTTTTCTCGTCTTACAGGCAGCAGCTGCTCACGGCAAGCTGCAACAGAGATCACTGAAATATCCGGCGCCGCTAGCCAGCCACAGAGTAGTCTTTGTCCGTCGTGCAGAAACTCCAGCCCTTGGGATCTCCACACGCACTTGAAGAAAAACTTTGGGCCGACAACCTGAGGTCCCGCTGTGCTGTCTCGAGGCCTTTAAACAATTGTGGGCTTAGAAGAAAGCCCCACTCTATTTCGAGCTCGTTGTTAAACGCAAGCTGTGTAGAACCGTTCAAAGTGAGTTTTCGTTGAGGCTAACGGAGGAGGGCTTCCAGGCGCAGAGGGATCGTAACACATGGCAAAGAGATGCGGTAAGAAATACTACGCAGTTGTTCTGCAACAAATGCGGATACAAAAGGAAATCCAAGGCGATTTCCTCGAGAACGGCTTTAGCACATGTCCAGTGGGTCGGCAGCTCCGCTCACCCGCCCCCGGTAGTTTTCTGGGGGAAAAGAGGCTGTTGAAAGCTTCGCCTAAATATAAAAAAGCTAGCAAGACCTCAGAAGAAGAGGAGAATTCCACGGCCTCTGTCTGCCTCTGTGGGCAATGAGTCGCATGCCCACAACAAAGGCCCCGACCGCTGAGTCTTTACGCCTCTTGAATTGCCTCTTCTGTATCCAAGAAGCTGTTTTAGAAAAATAAATCAATTGCCACTATTTTGTACTCAATGAACTAGCTAGTATGACGCTTTTTAAAAGATCCGCCGCAACAGACACTGCGCAAGCGGCACTCGCTCCTGTGCTCACGCAGTCCGAAGAAAGCGAGTTATGCTGAACCGCGTCACTCATGGGAAGTCCTCCCAAGGGAATTTTTTTGACTCATTGAAATAAACTCAACCTGAAACGAATGCAGATGCAAACACCGCAACACTCGATGATCCTCACCTATGTTCACCCGCACCCCGACGCAGAACATGGCAGAGAACGAGAATGCGGAAGCTTTAATCGTTGCAACAAAAATAGTGAATCAAGAAAAACATCGAAATTGTCACCCTCTAAACAATCGAGGTAGCATCATGCCGAGATTGTCTTCAGCCTTCTGCTCTTCGTTACGACACCACGCGTTGAGCTGTGCAGACAAGCATAATTGGGACGGGGATGGGTATTTTGTTCATTTTCCCCTTGCATCCGAAGGCTCATTGTATGCTATAGGTTCGGCTAATCTGAATTTGTCCTCTCTGAAGGATTTTGGCAAAACTTAACCACCAGAGCCTCGCAAGACCGTGGCGCGGCAGCTTGGAGGGGCATGCAACGGTCGTGCAATTTCATTGGTTTCCCCACGAATCGCACCCATCCATTTAACATTTAGAACTCACGAATACAGGCAAAGATCTACAGCTGAACCCATCCCCCTACACCAGTCCCCCTACCTACTTAGCTATACTGCCTTGGGCGAGCTCCACAACCTTCCGGAACGAATCATCACGCTAGTCTAGTTTACTTATGTATATAGTTCTCCTTTGGCCCAACAGTTACGCTTGATGACTTTCCAAGCAAATGCTGAACAAGAACTGGAGGCACGCCTGCACCCCTTAGCTTATTTCTTGCGCGTTCGATGCCGCAACGCTTTAGTTCACGACATTGACAATGCCCCTCCGTACTCCCTGCACTCATTTAACCTGTGCATTTCAAGACATTCGGGTGTCGTGCAAATCGGGTGGATAGACGACGCTACTGTTATCTCCGCTCGGTCTACGCCCACGAGTGCAGTGCATCTATGTTGTACCAGTAAGCGCGTGCACTGCTGCGGATGCACTACCAAATATATCTATTTCTGTATCTATATCTGTATGATTGTATACATATGTCTATGGATATGCTGAGCCTGTAGACTGTCCCCTATTCATGTTTAACTTGTACGCGACGAGCGTGCAGCCCAGGGTAGAGTTCGTTTTCCCATCGGTTATCGGGCGCTTTTAGTGTTCCATGCTAGTTTTAAAAGTGTAAGTTCGAGTATATTAAGCGAAGATCCACAAAATCAGGTAACAGGACTAGAAGTGAGCTGAAGAATTGCACCTAAATGCACCTAGCACACCTAGCAGCACAGCGGACAGAGGCAACCTCCTGAACCCGCAGGTTTGTGGACGTGAGCATCAATCCGTTCACCGACAGGCAGTCTGACATAAATAAAAGCGTTGAATAGAGCCCCGACTCGCCCTGTTCTGTTCTGATCTGCCGGTTCTCCTGTGCCCCTGTGCCCTGCTGCTTGGCTCGCGCCAACGCGCCTTCTTCAAAAGGCGTAACGCCGAGTGCGAACACGAATTCAAACATTCCGCGAACAGCCACCCACCCTGTGCGTATATACACCGGGAAAAGCGCTGCTGGAAGGAGTAAAGTAAATGCGCTAGCTGCAGAGTCACTGTCCTCCGCCACCCCCACCATCCCAGCCCCTCCTCACAGGGAGTCGTCACGAGTTACTGCCGCTGTTGCTGCTTGTGTTGGTGTTTGTGCTGTTACTGCTGCACACAGCGTTGATCATAGCATCGGTGGCGAACTCGGCGTGGATTTGCCGGCCCCCGAAGAACCTTCCATTGAGGGCGTTTTGGGCGGCTAAGGCCACGGAGGGCGCCGTGAACTTTACAAAGACTCTTCCCTCCTCATCCTTCTCGCTCAGCGAAACCTGAACAACGGACCCGTGTTTCCCGCACTCCTCCTTCACGTCGTCCCGGATGTCTTCGAAGTAATACTCGTCATCCGCTGCACTGGGGTTGAACATGCCCCGCAACACCAAATTGGACGTCATCACCCCAGGCGCCAGACCCCCGACGCCCACACGTGGACCGCTCGAGCTCCGCAGGAACTGTTGCTGAACGCAAACCCACAGTAGCAGCAGTAACAGCAGCGAACACAAGACAATGATGATTCACATCAGGGAGTCGTACGCCATAACACGGCAATTTGAACAGCGCAAGCAAACACCCAATGCAAGGATATACCAATGATAAGCAAGTTAAGAAGCCTATTGGTGTATTGCTTACTTTGTCTGTTGACGGGGACGCTTGCGGAGGAGGCTGCTGCTGCTGCTGCTGCGCCTCGCTGGTGGGCGAGGCAGCAGGGCGAGTCCCGCTGGTCGAAGCAAGAGCAGCGGTGGATCTATCCATGAGTTTCTGCATAAGCGCCTGTTTACGAGAAGGGTCGTGAATGTATCCAATGTCATCATCATCGAGCCCTCCCTCGTCATCGTTATCCTGCGCCTGTGCCTGTCCTTCCTGTGCTTGTTGCGGTTGCTGCTGCCGCATGAGACTAGCTGCCTTCTCAGCTAGCTGCTTCGCTAGCTGGGCTTCATAGGAGACTTGAGTAGCAGCAACGACGTGTGGAGGAATGCCCGGGCCCCCCAACAATCCCGGGGCTGCTTGGGGAGCCGCTATGGCCCCCGGAGGCGCTGCCGGTGATCCCTCTGGGAGGGAGCCCGAAAGGCGCACCCCATCTGCTGCGTAACCTACTCTGAGTTCCTGTCCATCAATTTTGAATTTATGCATTTGCTGCATCGCATCGTGGGCGTCGCCTGTGGCGGAGAACATGATGAAGGCGAAGCCGACGCCCTCTCCCGTGTTCGGATCAATGGGGAGAATGATCTCCTGAATGGCTCCAAACGGAGAGAATAAGGAATGCAGGTCATCCTTGGTCAAACTTGCTAGGTTGCCAACCAACCCCCCAACGTAAACTCTCATCGGTATTTGCAACGAAGCCGCGTCCGGCGCTGGAGTGATGGGGCACTTGGCGGCTCTTGCAGCTCTGTTCTTCTCCGCCATGGAGGCCTGCACGCGAAGCGGCTGCCCTTTGAACGAGATGCCATTGAGGGCCATCGCCTTGATGACCGCCTCTTGGGTGTAAAACTCGACGTAAGCGACGCCCTTGGAGACCCCAGACCGTTGGTCTCTGATCTGCTGGATGTCGCGGATCTTCCCCGCGTTTGCGGAGAAGAATTCATAAATGTGCCGCTCATCTGCTTTAAGCGACAGGTTCAGCACGAGCACTGTAAGGTCGTCGCGCCGAGCCTCCTCCACCTCCTTGCGGCGGAGCTCTTCCTCCCGTTGGCGTCGCAACAGCTCATCGCGGGGCCCCAGACGCGTCGCTGTGCTCCCCACGGTAGATGTATTCTCCCCGCTGGCCCCTGAAGCAGAAGGACCCCCACTGCTTCCCCCCGCCGGGCCGTTCCCACCTCTTCTCACCGGGGACGGCGACCGCCCCACATCGCGTCGCGGTCTGTCACGGCTGCGGCTCCGCCGCCCCGCCGGGGGCCACCACTCTCTGTCTCTGTCTCTGTCTCTGCGGCGGAAGTCACCTCGGTGTCGGCCAAAGTCGTCTCCGAACCGCCGAAAGGGTCCCCCAGGACCCCGCGAACGGAACTCGCGTCCTCGGGGGCCTCGAGGCCAAGGGCCGTCACGCCAGCCCCCGTTGCGACGAGGAGACGGAGAACGACGGACCTCTCTGTACACCTCAGGGCTTCCACCACGACCTCCCCACCCCCTTCTGCCGTCCGGACTCGGACCACGGGGGCCCCTGCGGCCTTCCGTACTATCGCCCCGGTGCCCCCCACCTCTCCTGCCATCTGTATTGTCCCTTCCACGCGATGTGCGACGGGCACTCGAGCTCTCTACTCGTCCTTTCCTTCCTTCAGGGCTCTCTTCAGCCCGAGGGCCTCCCCTCCTAGACGAGGGGCTGCCGTCATCCCCTCTGCGAGGATTGTCTTCGCTCCTCTCCCGCCCTTCGTGGCGGTTCTCTCTTTCTGGGTGTCCCTCGGAGTCTGAAGTGCGTCTGGGTCTCTCGTCTGCTGCCTTCGATCTCAGGGCGCCGTTGCTCACTGGGGAGGCCTCTGCAGATGCTTTTTCGCCTTCCTTCTCCGTCTTCTCCATCAGATTCAAGACGGTGTCGAAGTCCAAATCCCCCATTTCCACCACCTGTCAGTGCGTGGGATCCAAGAAAGAGAGCGCAGCATGCAAGGCCCCCCCTACAATTAGGGAAGAAAGGAGGCCTATCCAGGGGAGCAGATCGTCCCCCCACAGAACCAATAGACTCAAGGAGAGACGCCTCAAGAACAGGAGGCACAACCAACTGTGGCTATTCGAGTATAAAGGATCTTGTGAGCTCCGCGATACAACAGAAACAATAACAACACCTTCACAGAATTGTACGCGAGGATCGGTATACCGCGTTAATTACGTTCCCGCATTAACGAGGTCCACCTATTTCTTCGCCAGGTCTCCCACGGGCGGGCCCGCGAGCAGGGGGGCCTCCAAAGGCACACAAACACGTACGAGACGATAAAGAAGGTCCAAAGAGAAACACGAGAACCCTGAGGTGCCGTTGAGGACACCGAAACGGCCGAATTAGGGCCCAACCCCTGCTGCCATGAGGTGGGGGTGGGAGGGTGCAGGCGCCCCTTTCCGCTTCCCGGGCCTCCGTCGCCTCCCAATTAGACCTCCTGCACTCAATAGCGAAGTATGTTATAAACGAAAGTTCAGTCAAGTCAGAACTTATTGCAACCGATTCATAAAGTATCGTAGTGCTGCGCCTTTTGTGGGCGGCTGCGGGGCTGGCTGTGCTGGGGCTGTAGTGCCTGGGGCTTCAGTAACGGACTTGGGATCATGGACACCATGCGGGACACTGGGTAGGCTAATGTAGTTATTCTTGTTCACTAACTACTAATTTCGATGATCTCCCGGTGAGTGTTGCTGGAAGAATTGTAAGGGATATGCTAGTAGGTGTCTCCGGCTTCACAAGGAGTCAAGCTGGGACAGCAGCCGTAGCGTAGTCTATCCGAAGCTAGCGCTGGAGCGTTTCCTTGACATTGGTAGACTACCTGCAAGCAAGTATAAATGCTCAACAAGTGTCTACAGAGATAACGCGTGCGGTAAAGTATGCTCGGATGTGTTTGCATGTGAAGCTGTCTTGCACCTTCAGTTGTAGCGTGGTGTGCTACAACCCATGTCAGGCCGCCTCCTCCCTCGCAACGTCAGGCCCTATGCTGTTGCGCCCAGGAAGCCCGTAGGCACGTGAGTGGAGTCAGCTGTTCTTAGCGGACTCCTACCTGCAGTAATTTGGCCTCACTGCAGTTCGTTACGGTCCTCGAATCATCTCGAGAATTCCCGTTACGCAGCGTGAAATGTGCTTCAACGCGTCTCGCAAATCAACCCACATACAAACATTCCTCAGTTCCCTTTGCTGCATGCATTCGCATTGTCGACCGTTCTTGAACACCTACGCGCCGTGGCCCTTAGTTGGCCCTTAGTCGGCAGCGTACACGCAAGTAGAAGTGCATGTGCCAACTTCGCATGTATCGTACGACAGCCTGGATGAACTGTGTGTAACTGGAGCTGTCTATCTTAGCAGAGTAACCTTGTGAACTGCAACAGAAAATCAAAGAGCAGCTAGTTTCCTGGGCACAGTGAAACAAGGGCCTGCGGCTGGTTCCATGAGTTGCACCATGCATTGCTGCAGCTACTGCTGCAAGGCAGCCTCACAAGCAGGTACATGCAACTGTCCCTTTGAAACGCGCCTTAACACCGTAGGCATTTGTTTAAGTCTTATTGCGCACTTAGTAGCCAGCCTGCAGTTAACCTCTCAAGACAGACTGTGCTGCACGCATTCGATACAGCAGAAGGAAACACCTCCCGAGGAAAGTGTGTGCAGTGAATCATTTGCTGTGCGTAGTGGCTGTCTCCTCCTAATGGCAGTACTGAAGTACGCTGTATCATCAGACAATGCAGAATTCATTCTAACCGGCTGCGTACATCCTATCGCTTCATGTGCCTATTTTGCCTATAGAGTCATTCATCCCTTTCTCTAGACAGCTCTCCTTATTGTGCCGACGGTACTTCAATGTAGATAATTCAACCCTTACTACGCAGTCAAATACTTCATTCTGCAGTTTTTCTTGCTCCTGGCCTGCATATGCTCTGCATTTACCTTTTGCTCTCTGCTCTGGCCTAGTGTAGATGGCCCTTCTTTTCTCGCGAAGCGAAATGTCTTTGTGTGGGTTAACTTACTCAAGTATATATGGGCGATCTCTACGGAGTAGCACTCTAATTCTGAATCCTAACTGCCAGAGGCTGTCTACGGGGTGCCATTTTAGCCATAAACCCTAAACCCGAGGGGCATCTACAGCACCCGGACAGACGGAAAGAGCGGTAGCACGAGAGGTATGAGTTTTTCATCAAATGGTGAAGTTGTTCTTGAACGCAACGGGCGGCCATCTGGCAAAAACTCCAGTGGCCAACTACTACGTGTTTGTACCTTCTACTAGTGCAAAACCAAACAATTGGGGTCTGCACTATGTGTTAGCGAGGTTTTAACCGACGTATGGAAATCGGGTTGCATGCGCACATTGTCTGTGACTGAACAAATGCGCTTAATGCAAACTATATTGAGAACAGCTTCAGGAAGAATTAATGCAAAGACTCAAAAGAATCCGCAAGAGATCTTATGCAGGCATCTCAGGAAGGTGTTCCACCACGACATCTCCCTTGCCTTCTGTTGCCGATCCAGCACTGAAAGAATGTCGTATGGAGTCATTTTAGGCAGAGTCACGAGGGGATAACTCGTGCCATCTGGGAAATCTGTCAGCACTGCCTGCACTCGGCCGAAATTAGGGACGTGCATGTAGGTCTCCCTCATCTGTAAGTTTCGGTGCATCCCCTCATGCTGCCCTGTTCGACACAGCAGAACAAAAACAATAAGCAATAATCATCATGTGAGGCACGCTAAGAGATGGTGACAGAATTCAGTGTCTGCTAGAACCATGCGGCCGTCGTCGCTCTCTAATGCGCAAACCTTGCAAGCATGAACTCACATTTGTTTTCTAGCATGGCTTCGTTGTGTCCGCGAAGATGTTCAGAATGCTTCGTCTCCTTGAAATTTGGCTCCAACGTAGGGCGGTGAACTTGATTTAGCAAGAGGGGGAAGTTTTCGTAGTTTGGGAACCTCTGCGGCCCATCGGGAGGAACGGGGTGGTCTAGATGGTATTGTTTCACGTCTTCAGTAAACCTCGGGTCCTAAAGAATACAAACAAGGCAAGTCGCAGCAAGCAACCAGCTCCATGCGTTTGTTGGTCCCAACCGTCTGCTCCAGCGTACCAACGGTCCTGAAGACTGGCCCAACGCCCCTGGTAGAGTCAATGCAATTCATTGGGGTGTTTTAAAACTGCACTGCAAGGAAAATGCTCAGGCGCTCTTCAACCTGCACTACTCGGAGATATTAAGCTTCTCACGTGCGTGTATATGCTCGGCCCAGCCATCCTCAACATGTCCTCCTTCGGAATCTCGTCAATCAAGCTGGCAGTGTACGCTGAGGAAACAGAAAGACAAAACTCAAAACGAGGAATACATCTGCAGGCATGCTCAGGGATATATGTATCTTGGGATAAACTTGGGGTTGACAGCTGCAAACCTGGAACCCCAGAGCCAATTTTGCCAAGGAAACAAAAGAATAAAGGTGAAGGAAGAAGCATGCATTGTGCCAGAGTACAAATGGCATTTACACGATCTAGTCAGATGGCCTACGCGATATGAATTCGTCAAGCATGCTGGTGTGAACCTCTTTTAACGGGGGCAGAGGTTTGCCTTGCGCTTTGGCGTCAATTATTGCTGGTGTCATGAGGTGGCCTCTTGGCTCCTCCTCGGCTGGCCGAGGAGATACGAGGACACCATGGCGAAGCACCTCTTTCCCTGGCTTTTGGGGAGGTGACCAAGGCTGCGGGAGGGTCGTTGCTCCAGCTGTAGCCGCCTTGGGAGACGGCAGCGCTGAAGAAACGTGTGTGAGTTCCGGCGACCGCAAGAAAGGGCTGCTCGGGTCGCCAACCCCCGTGCTAGCCAACGAATGGCGGTGCGAGCTGCCGGGCTCTTGTTTGAGTCTGGGGGAGACGGAGACATCTTCCTTCCCAGAGAGAGGAAGACTCAATGCCAGGGGCTTTTTCCCCTTTCCCTCCATCGTTGGCACTTAGATCTCACGGGAACTACGCTTCGGAGTGCGCTGCAGCAGCAGCTCCCCTCTTCCAAAGCTTCTGACTGAATTGAGGATGAGCTGATTTATAAACCTTCAAAGCAGGGAAATGTCAAAAATTACCCGATCTCAGCAGTCGTCGAACGGACAGCAACAAGCAGCTTCCGCCTGACCGCGAGCACTTCGCCACTAAAAAGCAGCGTATCCCCGGGAAGCAGGGAGCAAAGCCAGTTGAATTAACTGGAACCAAATGGATAGATGAATAAACTGACAAAAGTTAATGGGATTGAACAGGAGGTTTTGGCATTGATTTCAATGCACCCTCCTATCGACAAACAGTCGAACAGGTCCAACTCGCGATCGCCAACTGAAAAATCGGAGGGAACCTTGATCGACACCTGATTAGTTTGGAAAAATTGACCTGGTAACAAATAAAGGAATAAACTGAGGAGGAAAGCAACGAAAAATGACGGCGGGTGACTCCCATTCAGCCGGAGCATCGGCCTCGCCTGCATGGCGTCCTGGTTGTGCCAGCTTGGATGCCGCTCCATCGACACGGAAACCTTCTGTGGGTGCCGACACATACCATCAATTTCATCTAAATTGTTATTCTATTAAGGTTGTTTGGATAGAGTATTTAACATGTTACTGCTGGAAAACATTGCAAATCTGTGGTGACTGCCGGTTGAGCGGGCCGAAACCACTTCACGATCTGTATGAAAAGTTAACTTCCCCCACCCCTTCGTTCATTTGCATCGTACATTACTGGGATGCACCAAACTGGGGCATTCCAGCTGGACACGAAGCGCAGCTCTGTAAACTCTGTGTGCGAGTACAAACAGCGAGCCCACACGAGTGTGCACAACCATGAAGAATGGCTAGACATTGAACGACACCTTTTTCCCGCGTTTCGTCTCTTCACACATATGCGCACTAGCTAGTTATGTACCGTGCCTGTTTAAAGTTGCCTTTTACACCCACGTGCAAGCGCAGCGCGCCCCAGCAGAGTGCCGCCAATGGTATTGTGTCGCTCGCGCCGAGGAACGCTGTGGTGCAAAGAAATTATAGCAGTTGGTTCAAAGACGCCTGTTAACGTTATGTTATGTAACGGTGGTCATGGATATTTGCCGAGGACAGGGGTGAGCTGGAACACGGTACTTTAGATGTGGATTTCCCCTAAAACAGCTAATGAAATCCGTCCCCAGGTGTCCGGCGTGCAACCGCGCAAGGGGCTGGGGCTGGTCTCATGAGTTGTACCACACCTTGCTGCAGCTGCTTCCGCAGGGCAACGCCACATGCAGGCACAACCAAGGCCCATTTCCTGCATGCGATAGCGCTGCAGCCCATTGTTAAACACTTACTAAAGATCCAGCCGACACGCAAATAGAAACGCGCGTACCACCTGCAGACAGAAAACGCCACTCCGCGTCCATTCTAGCAGACGCATCTTAATTTTGATTGTCTTAGGCTTCAGCGGCTGCACAAATGCAATTTGAATCCTCGCGGATGAATGCTTTACTTGCAGCGTGAGTGGTTTAGTACAGTTTGTCAAGTGACACAGCATTTCTGGAGGGGTTCTGCCCTTTCCAACGAGTCACTCTCCTCATATGCTGGCAATGCCGTAGGATTTGATGTCCACTTCAACATCTTTTTCGGAGACCCTAGATATGCGTTGTGCGTGCGTTGCCTTCCACATCCCATGAGATAGTTTGGTCTACATGCAACTAGTTCAGAGCACCAATACTAATGAGTGTTGCAATTCACCTATTTTTCTGGCTCTTTAGTTCTAAAACATTAATTCAAATGAAAGAGTGCGCGGACGCAACATATTCAGCATCGTACGCAACATTAGAAGCAGTACGCAGAGTGCAATTCCAGCAAAGAACCTGATATTCAAGGAAAACATTGGTTTTCAAGAAAGATGAAGGGGGGTTCCCCGCCGTTCATCACGAGGCATTCCATTTCATCTGCACTGTTAGTGCTGGGGAGATGTTGGCACACAATGTCTACGAAAGGTCTAGTTACTCTGAAATACAAGTACCTAAAGCAACTGTCCACGTTATAAACTATCCTGGAGTCGCGGATGCCAGGTAATACCACGCATGCCTAAACGTAGAAAAAGTTGGAGATCTCCCCCCAACCGTTCTATGTGCCGATACACCGCAGCCCAAAATGAGTTATTTACGGTATTTCGAGGGCTTAATTGTAACGGGAGAGGCGGACACTCGCTACCAAGCAATGGATGACGCGATATTTTGAGAAATTTTCTGTGTGCGCCTGTCCTGCCTACGTTTGGCAGATCCCAAATAAAATGCGCGAACCGCTGTCTAAGCGAGCACATATATTCTAAACTGCGTGCACTTTTGAAGAGCAAGAGATCGAAGCACCTGCAGCACGTGCAGCACTTCTTCCCTCTCGACTCCTAAAGTATCGCTATCCGCAAGGGTCACCTTTAATATCTGATAACTCAGAGAAGAGCCGCCTGCTTCATCCTCGGCTACCACCGGGTACCTGCACATCAGTCCCGGATGCATTGTTCCCGGGGGGCTGCGACGTTGAAGTCGTTTGCACAGGAGGTGCAGCTGCCTCAGCCTCCACTGCTGACTTCAGAGCTTCATCGCGCCTGCGAAGCCACCGACCGCAAAACATCACAAACGAAACAGCACAGTTGCCATCCGGACCCTGGAGGTTTACGTGACACTCGACACCCTCTAGGCCAACTTTAGACAGCACAAAATGGACGAGGGCCTCTAAACTGAAACGACGAGAAGTCACGAGCCTAGAAAGCCTATTCAACGGTTGGGGCCACGCCAATTTCCCTGTCTTAGCTACAGTTGGAGCTAGGCTATATTTAAGTCTTCGCGTGTTTCGAAGAAGCACATGAACTCGCTGCATCGGAATGGGTTGAGGAGGTGCTGCAGTATTGGCGATGGCTCACATGTGAACTGCTACTTCGTCGAGGCATCCTTCATCGGCGACATCGTGGAAAGTTGTCATCTCTCCAGTTGCTACGCCTTCTTCCTCATCCCCAGGATTTTCTATCGGCTGTTCCCAACTTATGGGGCTGCATGCAGATGCAAAAACCAACAAAACAGACCTGCACCCAGTTTGAGCTGTGCCTGACGCAATATCTCGGTAAATCATGGGGTTATCTGATAACGTACCCCTCAGTTTGCAGTTCGTCGCCCTGCTCTTCATCTTCTTTGCCCCCTCGTTTCTGTTTTCGCTCCCTCATCGCCTTCAGAGTTTCCGAAAGATCCGTTAGAAAGCGGGGGGCATGCTCTTCCAGTAACTTCCTCTCGCGCTGCAGTACATAAACCCGTCAAGGCGTAGCGCAACGTTTTCCAGCTACTGGATTAGACCGAACCGAACGGTTTACACTAGACGCCTAGGTACTTCATGCTGTGAGTGCAATAAAGGGCCGCTAAGCCTGCTGTACCACAGGTCACTCTGGAGTGCAAAGCGCTCACGTGATGCGTCTTGCAGTACTTCAGAACCCACTTAGTGAGAATAGCTGAGTGCTGCGCATTACGGCGACTAATGGAAATAAGCGCTTGACGATTCTTTGCATATGAATATAGCCTGGCCCACGTTTTGTCTCGCCTGAGGAAGCAGCCATTCCCAACCAACCAAAGATTAACTCGCCCCCTCGTCACAGCCACGTTGAGGCGTCTCATGTCCCCCAAAAATCCAACGGTGCCATTCTTCGCCTCTTCCTTGTCACTGCGAATGCCGCGCACGGCGGAAAAAATGATAAAATCTTTTTCTTGACCCTGGCAATAACGCAAGCAAGCAAACACGCAGCACAGGGCTAATCGAACCTAAAGTGTCCCTCCAGAAGCTCTCTCTTGCACAACGGCCAGGCGGAAACCACAAACTACTCGAAAACAGCAGAATTGTGGCATTCCACAGGACGCAGAAGAAGATGTTAGGCATATTGCGACAGCAGCCAGAGGTGCAGGATGAAAGGCCTGGAGCGGTAGTCGGCGAATTGATGTGGCAGCAACATTACTATTTGTTCGGTGTAAGGGCAACTGCCACTGATTACCTGGAAGCCATCTACTGTATTGACGTCTACTGGGCATGACTTCGCTTCAGAAATTCCGAGCATGGCCTTAATAGTTCGACGCAGCAGGATGACTTGTTGCGCGTACGGGCTTATTACCGCAATGCGTTGTTCCCATTTGGCATTGCCTGACGCTATGAACTGCAACGGAAAGAAAATCCAAACAAGCACTGTCGACAGATTCTGCACTCAGTTTGCCGACAACGAGGAAACATCTGCAGGGCCAGGGCTGGCGCAGTAAGCTAACACATCGAGAGCTAACACCGAGAGCATGTAGAATGGTAAAGTATACTTCTGCACCTCTGGGGGAAGTCCAAGGAGTCCCATACCAGGCGACGGAGAAAGTCAATAAGCTGCCTAACGAAGTCAGCTTCTGCGTAGTTCACAAGAGAGGTGTGTTCTTCCTGCACGAAAACACGGGCCAAACCATCACACAACAAACTGCAACCTTATCCCATGTGTGAGCGTTGGGGCGAACCGCTCAGCGCCACCAGGACCCCGATAGTAAACGCATCAGCAGCAAAGCAAGACATAGCGAGCAAGCAGCCTTATGCGCCACACTCCAATCCAAGAGCTCTAAAGCCATAAACGAAACGACGTTTGCAACACCGCAAAAACTGTGAACCCGGCTACTCCATTGCAGATTCATGTACAGCACTTCCGCGTGGAGCTTCGTGCTCTTTGGCACCTGGAGTGACCTACAGTGTGCTCGCTGTCGAGGTTGAAAAAGACGATGGGCTGGAGGATGGGCAGTCGATGCCAAGAAGGAAATGGAGTCCACAGTCCACTGGGCAAATGGGGGGCATCCCGCAGCAGCCCTTCATAGAATGCGACGGACGCGAAGCGGGAAATAGCAGGATGCATTCGGTACTGCTGACTCAACATGTTCGTTGGCTGGCCTGCCCCCTCCAGGCGTTGGAAGAGAGAACGATCATAGCGCTGCAGACAGGATCGTCCCACCAAAATCTGGTGCAGTTTTCGTCGTGCTTTCCGGTCAGCTGTCCACTTTTGCGCTAAGTGACATCAACAGCAACCGTGATATTGTGCAATGGCATGCAAAAACCCTAAATGAGGCGAAGGAAAAGGAACATAAAAGCTCAGGTAGCATGAAGCAAGTCAGCCCAATGCCCTTACCAGCTGGATTGCATGGCGCGAGAAGATGGTGGCAGGGAGCTGCTTTGGGTCGCCTACGAGGATGAGTCGTCTGCAGCCCAGACGAAGTGGAATCAGAGTCGCCAGTTCAACTGCCTGAACCCAAACAGTACGGCAGCAGCATGCCTGCAGCAACTGGAACGGCAAGCCAAATTGAAGGCTTGTCAGATCACACTAAACATAATGCACTATGTGGGAAGAAGAGGCCAACAAATGCAAAAAGACAAAAGGCCATGGATGGAGGAGCGAGCACAAGCACGGCTGAAGAGAGACAACTGAAGGCAGCCGGTTGCTGCTGCTGACCTGGGAAGCCTCGTCCACAACGACAGTATCAAAACCGTCGGCAAGAGAGGTCAGGTCGTTGGAGCCACAGACAGAAATAGTGGCACAGACGATTACACTGTCCCTCAGCACATCCGCCTTGGCCGCCTAAACACCATAGTCAATGCAGATGCACAACGACAACTCACGCACGCAGCTACAGACAGAACAGTTAGCGATGGCATACGACAGATTCGACGAAAAGACAACAGACACAATTCACTGTGACAGAATGCTTGCGGCGCAACTCAAGCCAGTAGAGCTCTAGAGGCGAATGAATGCCAATGAGTTCATCCCCATACAAGAAAGGCACTGGAAGCATGATTATGCCCCTCTGTGGGAACATGAGGTTTAAACTCGAATCTAAGACACTCTTCGCCACCTGCGGCACCAAGGCCTGGCAAAGGTAGCGCACCGCTAAGGCAGCGAAGTTCGTGGAACCGCGGGCTCTGAGCCTCTGGAGGGCTTTGAACTGCAGACTGTGCTGCAGCAGGTCAGGATGGACATTAGGCCCCACACGGACGACCTGCACCAAAGACGCCCAAACACGATGTGCATACATACTGCCGTTCATCATCCATATCCCATTTAAGCCGCCACATCATCGGCAACAGCAATCGAAGACCAAAAGGAAATACAGGAACATAAAACAGATAAAGCGAGGCTGAGGAATGGCGAACGTAATGGCACTGCCCAGGCAGGGGCAGCTGAGGGTACAGCCAAACGGAAGACGCACAGCTGGAGAAAATCTTTGACCGCTACCGTCAAATATACCGCCTCCTGATTCTGGATCTGCTGTCAGACGTTTGACGATCTCGTCTATCGCCGCATTCGACGGCGCACAAACCAAAATTCGACTAAGGCAAACATGCACACACTAAAGTGCATACATATATGCATACACGTATATATATATATATATATATATATATATATATATATATATATATATATATATATATATATAT